CAGGAATTTTCCAAGAAACTTCTGAAGTCCCGGGACAGAGAAGTTGATACAGCAGAGGGGGAAGGGTCCGGCTGCCTAGAAAGCAGCTTTCCAGGAAAGCACTTGGGATGCAGCAAAGAAGAAAGGTGATACTGGCCTCCTGGGCCTCTGGAGCTGCCTCGTGGTGGAGCCCAAGTGGAGAGATCCCAGGGGAGGGCGGCCAGAGGGGCTGTGCTCAGCAGGGAGGGACAACGAAGGACCTAGCGGCTCCTCGGGGTTTCCCGACGGGGTTACGGAGAACAAGGAGCCAAGCTCTGTTCTAGGACTACCAGGGAAAGGCCAAGGTAACAGGCGCAGGGTCCAACCCGGATGATTCTGTGATTCCCTATTGAATTTGTTTTTAAATCCATGGTAACGTTTATGAACAGAGGAGGCAGGAGTTGGGCATCGCCACCAAGTGGAGTCTCATTACTCGTGTAGCTTGGTGTAACTTTCAGTCACAGTAACTTAGGAGAAGTTTATAGGGATTGGACTGCGTGTGGGATTGTTTGGCCAGAGGACACAGATGACTCCCTGTGCTCCAGGCACTGATAGACCTTCAGATTGTCACTTTTTACATGAGAAACTGGTCATCAAAATGTTAGTCTTCAGAAGTGATGTTTGATACTGTGAGTAAAATGTATTTAAATTCTTTCTACCTTTTGCTGTAATCGTTAAGTCCCCAGAAGTCTAAGGATTGTATCAGCCTACTCGCCAGTCTGTGGTCAGAAGTTCATATACCTTTTGTATCAGACTACTCATTGATCAGTGCAGTTAGTTACATTATTTAGTGGGAGACCATAGCTTCAAGCTCAGTAGTAGTAGCTATAGTTTTCCTGTATTTTGATAGATATTTTTAATCTTACTGAAAAACTCAGGTTTTCTGTGCTTTCTTTGGTGCTTCTCTGCATTATCTTAAACTGCCGGTTTGTAATTCTTGAAACGTCCTTCATAATATAATCAAAACTTCACGGCAAGCCCGGCGCTCTTGCTCAGCCGGCCCCGCTGCAGAGCAGCTTCCATGCAGAGCTGTAACTAGTTACTGGGCTCGCTGGGGAGGCGGGCGCTGGATCCAGTTATGGCAAATCAAATTGTTCCGCTGCAAACTCCCGTTCCTGAGGCAGGAGCTGTGCTCCCTGCACCATCCTGTTCAGCGGAACCACATGGATCCCGGGGACCTCGGGAAGAGACCTTTGTTATAGGAAGCGCTGGCAGAGATGGAAGGCACGGAGCGCCTGTACTGCGAGCGTCCAAGTTGTTGCACGTTCCCGTTGCTGCCTCAGACAGCCTGGACACCCTGTGCCTTCCTTGGGGACCTGCTTGGGAACATTTCACCTGTGGAGGCCGAGACTCCCTGTGACACATTAGCAGCTGTAGGAAGGCCGTGCTCACCGAGGGGTGCTTGGCAAAGGACACCTGGCTGCTCCAGCTGGGTACAATTCTCTTGGCTCAGTAAAGAAATCACATTTATGCTGTGCTATGCAGCATTGGGGTGTCCTGGCTAAATCTAGATACTGCTGTTGCCTCCTGAACTTCACAAAACCCGTCCCACTGCCCTTGTCATCAGGAGAAACCCGACAGCCCTCCCGCGGGTGAACCCTTTGCCTTCGGGGACAGCCTGCAGCAGGAAGGCTGGGGGCAGTCCCAGAGCGGGGTAGACGTGGGGACAGCACTGGCTTTGTGGAAAAAGCAGTTTTTTAGTTTCTTTGTGCCTGGCTTTTTCTTTCTTGAAGCTGATGCAAGGAAATAGGTCAAATGAACCAAAAATGTAACTTAATTTACCCATATGCCCTGCAAGATCTAACAGATGAGCTGGTAAGTGTGGGCTATGTATGCTGAGCGGAAAGCATTGCTGAGCGTGCGTAGAACTGCACTTCATTCGCAGCCACACACAGATTTCTGCTCACTGCTTGATAACACACAGTGCAGAAGTTTCTTTCTTTCTTTCTTTGGTTTTTAGAGAGCAGGTCCCTTTCAAATGGACATTAAATCCTAGCAGACTAGTGTGCAAGGTAGAAAGCCTTAATCTCCCTTTAACACACGTTGCAGATCACATTTATAAACCCAGCTGCACTTCATTCGCAGCCACACACAGATTTCTGCTCACTGCTTGATAACACACAGTGCAGAAGTCTCTTTCTTACTTTCTTTGGTTTTTAGAGAGCAGGTCCCTTTCAAATGGACATTAAATCCTAGCAGACTAGTGTGCAAGGTAGAAAGCCTTAATCTCCCTTTAACACATGTTGCACATCACATTTATAAACCCAGAAGCAAAGCAACATTTAAGTTTCTCCCGATGTTTATCTTGGTGTGAGGAGGAATTTTTTTCTATACTGCGTTCGTGTTTCTGCCCTGCAAGGATCTTCTTTCTTCCCCCAGTGATGAAGAGCGATACAGATACAGAGACTACGGAGATAGAGGCTACGACCGGCACCGAACGAGCAGGGAGAAGGACGACCGGCACCGAGAACGGAGACACAGGGAGAAGGAGGACACGAGGCACAAGTCATCCCGAAGGTTTGGTTTTTAATAGGATATGAAAGACTTGACCAGTTTAAAAAAATAAATCTTAAAACGAACCCCAAACAAACTGGAGTCTTCTGGAGCGACTGTAAACACTCAGATGTGCTGCTTGGACCGTGTCTGCCAGTTAACATGTGGACAGACACGATGAGACGTTGGCCCCACTAACTCCATGTTGAGCGATGTGTAATACAGTCTTAGCTAGAGAACAAAAATTAAGAATTTGGAAACAAAAATTAAGAATTTGGGGACAGAAGGGTAAAAGTGGTGGGTCAGAAGGAGGCAGAGTGAAGCTAGTATTCAGTAGTGTTGCATAAAAACATAGCAATGATTCTTAGCAAGTACGTAAAAGACCTTTTGTGCTCACTTGACATAAGTGTTCAGCTTAATCCTTCTAAAGTTTGAAACAAAGGTTGAGTCAGGGTAAAACGATCAGTGAGATTTAAAACTTTTTAATGGCTGCCAGTAGGGACATGATAGTACTGTAAGTATTGCAATTTGAATGTGGGTTGCATATGTGGGAAAAAAAAAAAAAACTAAAAAATTAGATTTCCCAGTAAAAAGGACAGCATGAGAGGGTCTATGTACCCTGGCATCAAAAAATGCAGTTTGACCCTGACATGGGCTTTCCCAGTACAAGGCCTGTTCCCCACAACTGCTGCTGACGGGGGCCCAACGTGTCGTGCCTCCCTGGCAGCAGTTTGAGGTATTTCCTCTGTTTTTTCAGTAACAGCAGACGCCGTCACGACAGCGAAGAAGGGGACAGCCACAGAAGGCACAAACACAAAAAGTCCAAAAGAAGCAAAGAAGGAAAAGAAGCCAGTGGTGAACCTGCTCCGGAACAGGAGAACACTGAAGCTGCCCCTGCAGAATAGGCTGGTGTGATTTTTGCCTACTTGCATATATATTAGTGCCAGAAATAGATTACTATAAATCCTGTTATTTTTCTGGGTATTAAAATAATTTGCTCTTAATCTTGTTCTGTTAGTATAAATTCAAAGGTTACTTTGTTTTTTTGGAAATAAAAAGAATGATTTTTTCATGTTAAGATGCCTGAACTTTGTCTTTTAAGAATGAGTGAGGAAATTGCCATTTGAGATCTGTTGATTGTACTGATGCTCTTGCACTACTTGTAGGGCTCAACCTTATTTAAATTGTCTCCTTTTTTCCACATTTCAGTAGGAAGGTCCCTCTCCTGGGTTCAGCGGCATTTTGCATTCACGTTGCTGTACACTGGCCGCTGGAGTGGTGGGTGTTCAGTGTAGCCCTTGGAGCTCCTCTCTGAAAAGGTCACTCTTCACCACAGGGACAAATTCCAGACACTTCCAAGAACCTTGTTCTGAAGTGAAACAACAACAACAAAAAGGGGGAAGCCCTGGAAGCTGCTGCCTCCCTTTAGCCTGAGGGGCTGCTGAGCGCAGGGAATTACACCAGGCTCGGGTGGAAGCCGGGCGTCCGTCTTGCTGCTTTTCCATGGAAAATGAATTGCAGCCTGTGTTACATGTCCCCACCATGGGGAAGATTAATGAGTACGTCCTGCTGCCCTTGCTGGCTTCCAAGGGAAAAACAAAAGACAACAAAGCTGGGGTAGTTTGCAGAGAAGTAAATTCGTTGTGACTTTGAGATATACTGCAGTCAGAATGGTGTCAGGGCAGATGGGCACGGCAGTCCTGCCTTGTCAGGGCAGTATTTAAAAAATATCACTTGATGACATTAGCAGAGTACACTGTACTTAAAAAAAAAAAAAAAAAAAAAAAAAAGAAATAAAGAAAAGACCCATGATTAAAAAAAAAAAAAAAAAAAAAAAAAAAAAAAAAAAAAAAAAAAAAATTCTAGATGTAGTAGAAGCTACCAAAGGAACTACTTCTTTTGGGTTTTGGTGAAAATTATGTTTGTACAAGTACACAGTTACAGTTATTTTTAATAATTTTAGAAGTATAATTTAATTCACAGCTTTACAGACTAACAAACAATACTTGAAAGTCTGGAAAATACCAGCTTCATGCTGACCATGAAAAGGTACAAGATAATCAAAGTGCTATTAATGTGTTGGGTAAAAACCTTCACCTGATATTCTCAATTAGAAAAGTACTTCATCAGCTTGCTAGGAATTTTTCCATAAATTACTAATAAATTTCTTTTTATAAATTAAAGTGGGTGGATAGGAGCTATTGCAGCTCCTAAATTTCATGATTATTTTCGCATTATAAATATATATAAAAAAACAAACTTAAGAACAGGGGAAGCAGAGACTGAAGTCTGTAACTGAAATCACTCCACAGTGATTCACCGATATGTGTCCCTTCCTTGGCAAAATCTGACTGTTCTTGACATGCAGGTTGAAATTTCACAAACCTCTCCTTTATAAATGCATTTGATTCCCCCGAGAAAAGTGAGGACGAATGACATCCTTGTTCTTCCTGTGTTAAATTACTTGTCACGCTGTCTGTGAGGACTTTCTTTATAAAAAAGTGCCAGGCCAGGACACAATAGTGAGAGTAATTTTTCCTTTCAGTTCTTTGAGCATCCTTGCCAAGCAGGCGTGCATCATTCCTGATGTGTTCCTGCCGTTGACAGCAAGGAGGATGTCGCCACATCTGAAAAAACAAAGGCAGACATGAGAGAACCATTTTAAAAGGTGCCATCGTGCCTTAAACACTTGCAACTGCTCAAGCTGAAGCACGGCCCTAAGTCAGAGGGGGTAAAGCAGGCTGGGGAATATAATTGTTTTTAAGCCAGGGGTGGCAGGCGCCTTCTGTGTGATGGCTGCTATTGGTAGGCTCATTTCCTCCAAACTTGCACTATATCTTTTTACTTAGGCCTACAGTACTTGCTACAGGTGAGACATGCATCCATTCTGTGATGAAGGCAAATAGGCTGTTTTCCTGAATTTAACATAGTTCCAGATTCATCAGCAATTCTGCAATCCACGGAGCTCAGCAGGGGTTTGTAACGGACACAGACTTTTCTATCAGCAAGTCCTTTCTCTCCTCTACATGGTAGTCAAGTAAACATGAATAACAAAATGGAGAATGGGATGAAAGAACTACTTCAACACTACTTGCTATTAGATGGTTCTCGTTACCTAATTCTTCCATCATTATACGCTGGTGTTCCCCCAACGATGGATTTGATGAAGAAGGGTTTGTTCCCAGTATGTTCTTCATAACCCCCTACAATGCTGAAGCCAAGACTTCCTGCTGTATTTCTCCGTAATATGATTTCTTTGCAGCTGTACAAATACCTGACAGAAAAAAAAAGTTTAATTAGTGTCTTATGCTTTAGGTTCTGCTGACTCATCCGCTTTTTCATATATGAGTGTTTCGAATACATCAAACAGCATCAAGGTTCCACTGTATTCAACACCTGTGCTGCCCTTCTCCTTCTGCAGCCCAAAACCAGTTAACTGAGAGGTACAAATTACTGCCTAATCTTGGCTTTAAACAACAAAAATCACTTGGTTCCTAGGACAGAAAGTAATGCAGGCATTTCAGTTGCAATTGAAAATGAGAGAGAAGGTACTTTAAGGCTGGATTTAGTATTTGGAAACACGTCTCTAGAAAGTGCATTTCAGCTACCTCTCTAGTACAAGGCCAGGCGTGTGTTTTAGCTTTCCAGTAAGAGCCTCTGTGTGATTAACTGTTTCATAAGTAGTCAGGCAGTTGGAGCTTCATTCAGGACAGCTATGAACCACAGTGCATATAAAAACTAACCTATTTTGAGACCAGTGAAATAAGCCAGAATTTCAGAAATTGTGAAGCTCACACAAAAGAACATCAGCCTGGAAAGGCCCTGTTACAGGACACCGATACTGCTGTCAAGAACATAGCTCTGTCCATGGCAAAGAGCAGTGCATCAAAAATCCAAAGTTACCTAACATCTTCTGCCCCCTCCAATGGTTTTCTTATCCATGATACTTTAAGGTATACTAATCCACAGCAAAGCTGAAACAAGGAGTAGGGTACAAGGGAGAGCAGGATGGGTGGACTGGAGCTGGACTATACCCTTTTTTTTTTTTTTTCTTTTTTACCAAGCAGAAAAATAGCATAATTTAATACGATATACACAACACACATTTATGACCTTAATAATTTAGACAGTTCCCTATGAGTTTGCCCAATAATGACTGAGGAGTCTGAAAAATCCTCTGCCATTCCAAAGCTGGTGTGCTCGGCTGGCTACAGCAACCAATTACCACTAATGCTGTTCAGAGCCCCCTTGGCTTTCTGGTGGAGGCACTGCCGACCCTCGTGCAGAAGGGCAGCTAACCTCATTTTACCTTAACGACAAACATGCCTAGTTTTTAAAATTTCATTTGGCAAATAATGCTTTTACTGTGTTTCACAGCAGGCTTTTTAGCAGCACTAGATTAGTCCCCCAGGGTCTACAAATGCTCACCTGCTGCTAGGATGGTAGGTACATAATATTCGCACAAGAATTTGCTGGCAGCTAATGTAAGAAACAGGTGACATTTGCTTCTTTCATCAGCAGCCAGGCATCATTACTTTGCCATCTGTGGACTCTCTAAATGTGCAAAATCACTTAAAACCGCTCTGTTCGATGGTACTTATCAAGGTCATGCCCAAGCAAGGCCAGCAGGATTCAGGCGTTCGTGGCAGCAGTGCTGTAATCACCGAGCGGCTGAGGCGGGAAGGGACCTCTAGAGATCATCTAGTCCAACCCCCTGCTCCAGCAGGGACACCCAGAGCACGTGGCACAGGGTGGCATCCAGGCGGGTTTGGAAGATCTCCAGAGAAGGAGACTCCACAACCTCTCTGGGCAGCCTGTTCCAAGGCTCTGTCACTCTCACAGGAAAGTTCTTCCACACATGGAGATGGAATTCCTGTGTTTGAGTTCATACCCATTGCCCCCTTGCAGTCAATAAGTCTTTTCCTCATATTCAGCTGGACCTTCCCATGTTTCAGCTTGTGCCCCTTGGCTCTCGTCCTGTCACTGGCCACCACTGGAACTAATCTTACCCCCATCTCTTGATGTTCTCCCGTAAGATACTCATACACATTGGTCAGATCCCCCCTCAGCCTTCTCCTCTAGGCTAAACAGGCCCTGCTCTCCCAGCCTCTCTTCACAGAAATGTTGCAGTCCCCTAATCACCTCCCACAGCGGAGTCCCTCGAGTAGCTCCATGTCCCTCTTGCACTGGGGAAGGCAGACCCGGCCCCAGGGCTGAGCAGAGGGGCAGGATCACCTCCCTGGACCTGCTGGCAATGCTCTTCCTCACACACACCAGGGCACCGCTGGCCTTCACCCCATGGACACGTCGTTGCCTCATGGTTACCTTGTCCGCCAGGAGACCTAGTGCTGACCTGGGGAGGCAGGGACGCACCGTCTGCAGGAGGACAGTGCTGGGATTGAAGGGTTACAGGCTCAGTCGAATCTCTGAAGCAGCAAACACCTACCAGGCAAGGACACACAAGAAAGCAAACACAGCCCACGCTCTGCACGACTCCAACCACCTGGGCTCCATCCGGCTGCGAAGCCTAAGCACAAACCTGCCAGCAAAGCCTGGGCTAGACTTGAGCTAAATACACGTGCCAGTGGGACTCCTTCACGGTGTATCTAACACTAGCAAGCCGAAACATATTTCCCCCATTAACGTGGTAGCTGAATTTCAGCTGTCTTTTTGCATTTGCAAATCCCTTTTGCCCTTGCACTGTAGCTTGAATCAGAAGCAGCCAAGGCTGGGACGCAGCAGACCAGTATCGCTGCTTCCCTCTGGGGCGAACGCTTTTCTTCCCAAGCCAACAGCGAGAGCTGCTTTCTGGGGAAGAAAACCACAGTTGTGTCAGTGTCACTGGTCCTGAGGACACTGCTGTCGAGCGCCGCCCCACAGTCATTAAAACAACGAGGCTGCTGCCAGTGGCCTCATTCCACACGCAGCCAAGGGGAACGGCCACGCGGGAGGCAGGGCGGGTTTCTCCATGGCTGCGGGGAGCTACGGGCTCCCGGCCTCGTCCCGGCGCTACCCGCGAGCAGCGCAACAGGCAGAGCAACAGGCAGAGCAACAGGCAGAGCAACAGGCAGAGCAACAGGCAGAGCAACAGGCAGAGCAACAGGCAGAGCAACAGGCAGAGCAACAGGCAGAGCAACAGGCAGAGCAACAGGCGGAGCTGCTGGGGGTGCCCTGCCCTTCACGGGGACCTGGAGAGCGCGGCCGCCTTTCTGGCGGCCCGGAGACGCACCCCGAGGGTGTCACTCCTCCAACCCGACGCTGCAGCACCCCATCCTACAGCGTGGTCACGCACCGACTGTGCGTTAGCGCCTTCGGAAAGGCGGGAAGGCCGCGGGGGCGGCTGGCCCGGGCCTGCTGCTCTGCCCATGCAGCAGGGAGGCAGGTACTTTGTTGGGGCCTGTTTGCAGTTGTGCAGTAATAAAAAGCTAAAAAAGGCGCCACGGAGAGACAATGAAATGGTTCCTCCCTTGCGTCATCCAAAGGGACTTATTGCGTTTCAGCAGATTAGTTTTCTGTTGTAACCCAAGACACCCCAATCTGGGCATCTTGACCCAGTTAAGCTGCCAGAACCCACTAACCTGCAACAGGTCCAAAGAGAACCATCTCCTCTACAGGAGCAAAGCAAGTTCCAGGTTAACAAGCACTCCACCAGAGACAGAGAGCCGAGGACAGAGATGTGTGCGACCCTGCCTCACATTCAGGACCTGAGGACAAGCAGAGTCTGGACACAGGACCCCATCATGGGAAATGCCACATCTCATCATAACCTACTGCTGGACAAGGAATTTAAAAGTAGCTTGGCTGCATCATCTTTATTTTTAAAACACTATTTTCAATTAACTAAGTATACAATTTGCTGCCTCTGTTTCCAAAGTGTAATTAGTCATATGCTCCAGGAACCAAAATCAACTTGACTCCAGAACAACTTCAGCAATAGCTGAAGGTGTGAAAAACATGAGCAACTTCTCCCTGTTACAGGGCTAGGTTACAAGGCTAGGTAAACTAGCATTGGAGTGGGCAAGTATCTGAGAACTGCTCCCATCAAAATCCTGCAGCCTGGATAGAGCTAACCGGGGAAGTTTCTGCCCTAGTTTTGTGTTTTTGATTCATTTCTGATTCATTCATTTGCAGAACAATTCTGGTCAGCCATCTTTCTCACCTCGCCTTGCAGATGAGCACAAGCACTCGTGTGAAGTGCTCATGTTTGTAAATGTTATGACAGGCTGTTTTAAGTGCTAGCTGTGCGGGAGGAAGCGTGAGGAGGAAGAAAAGGAGAGCAGCAGAACAGCGCGGGGTGAAGAACCACGAGCAGCAAACGCGGTGTTTTCCCCGCGCGCTTCCCGGCAGCACCTCCCTCAGCCCCGCGCGAGCCCGGCCCGATGCTGCCGCGACGCCGGATCCGGCAGCCCCTCTCGCAGGGCCGGCCGAGACGCACGTCGGAGGCCTCTGCTTTGCACCCAGGGCAGCAGGAGGAGCTGCTCATGTGCGATCGGGCTGCCTGGAAAGGGCCAAGGCCAGTTTTTAAGAAAAAGGCAGAGATGTAGGTGGGAGCTGACCCCCTTGAGCTGGAGCAGACAGCTTTCCCGAGGCTCGGAGCCCCAGGGCGCAGCCGGGTAACCTCTCCCTGTCTGATCCCGCCACTGTCTCGCTCCGGAAGAAGGGACATTCTGGCGCCGTCGGCGTCCCTTGGCTGTGCCCACCGCTGCAGCGGGGCTGTGAGCCCGGGCACTCCTGCAGAGCACAACCCGCTTGGCCCTGCGCCCGCCCGAACACAGGGGATGCTACAGCTCCCCGGGCAGCTACTCTTAACCAGACCGTTTTTCTACTTCATCAGCTGGGTGGAGATTCGCAGACTCCTGCCCACATCCTGCAGGGTTCAGCTTATCTCAGCGAGGACAGTTTATATTCCATCCTTCACAGGAGTTCAGCAGCACTCACAGGTTTGTTAAACACCAAAGGAAAGACTCTGCTCTGCCCTTCTTTTGCTAATCAGCCGTGTGTCTAGCAGAGCCAGGCTTCCCCCGGGCTCCTCCTTGCTTGGTTTAAATAAATCATCCCACTGCGTTGCCACTGCTTTGGAAAGCCAAGTCTTTCCCTTACTGGCAGACTTAAAGCAATTCACCAGCCAGCCTCTTCCTTTTTTCAATCATCTCGCCTGTCCCTGGCCTTGCAGTTGTGCAGCCTTTTCTACCTGTTTAGGGTTTTTTCCTGCACAGCCCTGATTTTGATGTTTCAAGGGCTCTCGGAGCCTCCCTTTGTGGAGCAGTCGCCCCAGTAGGGTCCGGGCTTCCCCACTGGCCTCACAGCTCGTTCCGTTGGCTGCACCTTCGCCCTGCCCCGGCATTGAGCACCGGGCACCTCCAGCAAGGCGGCCCTGCCAGCCAGGCCATCTCCTAGGACAGCCTGGAGAATGTTGCCAGACCTCTGAAAACGCCTGGATGTCTGCTGGGATGCGTGGCTTGCCGAAAGCAAACTGGAAGCTGGGTAGGGAAATGCTAAACACTCCGACTGAGGGAAATGAGTTAATAGGAGACGTGTCCTGGTGAGGCTGAAGGGCTTCCAGGTGCCTGGTGCGGGTCCCAGAGCAAGAAAGCAGCAACATTCACATAGGGCAAGACTGAGGGCTCTGGTAACTCCCAACGCGTGAGTCCGAGTCTGACCCTCGAGTCCCTGGTCACCCCCGACTGCTGCGCGGGGTGAAGGACACCTTTGTCACTGCCAGCTCTGATCAGTGTCGGTGCCCGTCTTCACCCGGCCTTGGAGGCTGCGTACCAGCCCAGCACACTCCCCACGTCCCCATTCGCAGCACAGGGCCGCGCTGGGCTCGCGGTTGCAGCTGGGGGTAGAACTGCCATGAGCTTCCTGCTCTGAGCCTTGCTGACACCGGGGCAGATTGTCCTGCAGCCTCGCTGGGAAGCAGAGCGAGCGCAGACGCTGCTTCGCAAAGGTTAAACCTCTTCTCCTCCCGAATGTCAAAGCAGCCCCGGCTGAGTGATGTGAGCAAGGGGTGCAGGTCTGCAGAGCTCCCTCCTTCACCTAACAGGGGCACGGGGACCCCAAGCAGCTGTGGGTGGGTGATGACCAGAAAGGTTTCGACAAAGCAGGGCCCAATCGAGCAAGATTCAGCGTTGCAGTTTCAGCATCCACGAGACCTGGAGGCCACTTGCTCTCATGCCTGTGGCAATAGCTCCTCTGTTCCTCTCTTACAAAAAAGGTATCTGAACAGCTACCAGCTTTGGGAATATGAGTAAAACTAGGTAGGAGGCTCAGTTCTTCATTCCTTAGAGTCAGGGAGAGGAGGGGAGGTTTCCCTCAGCTGAGAGTACAGATTTCAATTGTGAGATGCTAGTTCTGCCTATTCACAGATTTGCAACATATCCTCACCAAGTATTTTGCCTTGGTCAGAAGGTCCCTGAAACTGCAGACAGGAGCCGGGTACAGCGAGCGGGTTTGAGAGCATGTAACCAGCTACACGCGACGCGGCTTTTATTATTTTTACCCAAACGACAACACAGCTGCTTCCTGTAGATGACAACTGTGCTTTTTTCGCTGGGAGGTGGGGTTAAAGGAGGTGACTGGGAGGCGCGGGCCAAGAGCGCGCGCTGTGCGACGCCGGGGCACAGCCAAGGCCCACAGCTGCGCTCGGCCTCGCGAGGGCCTCGCCAGCCCCGGCAGGGTGGTCGGGCCCCGGCCCCTCGGCGAGCTCCCCATGAGCTTCTCCTCCCGCTCCCCCGAGCGCCAGATACGGTTTTTAAGAGCAGGAGGGTTCTCCTCCCTTGCAAGCAGATCTACGTGTCTGTTTTTCCATGTACGCGTAGCCGGTTACAAGAGGGAGGTATTTAGAATAAAGCCCGTGACAGAGCCTGGATTTAATTAAGATGTCAGTGTGACGCACAAAGCCAAAAGACGGAATTGCCAACAAATATAAATCTTTCCTCCCACTCTCCTTCAGCGGAAAGGATGTAGTTTTTGGACTCACCGCGGCAGCCCCAGCCACATAACCCAGGAGGGCGACCACTCGCTGCCCTCGCGGGGGCCGTGCGCTGCCCGCGGCTCCTCCTGCGG